CTTCACTTTCTCTCATCTTCTCTTTGCCCTTCTACCACAGGATGACACAGCAAGAAGGTTCTTGCCGGTCCCTCGATCTTGGACTTCCCAGCCTTCAGAAAGGTGAGAAATAAATTTCTGTACATTACATAGTACCCAGGCTGTGGTATTTTGTTACAGTGGCACAAATGGACTAAGACAATGGAATACCTTTGATAGAATGTGATAAAAATGGCACTTTACTTCAGTGGTCTCCTTCCCCAAAACCCATAACCTCAGTGTCATCATGAGAAAAAGATTAGACGATTCACAGTTGAAGACTATTCTACCAAACACCTTACCAGTACTCCTCAGCACTGTCAAGGCTGTCAAAAACAAGGGAACTCACAGCCAAGAGAAGCCTAAGGAGACATGATGGCCAAATGCAGTGTGGGATCCTGGATGGGATCCTGGAAGAGAAAAAGGGCATTAGAAAAAAACTGAGGACATCTGCATAAAGTACAGACTTCAGTTAATGATAATGCATCAGTATTGGTTCACTAGTTATGACAAATGTACTATGGTAATACAAGTTCTTAATAATAGGTGTATTAGTCTGTTCTCACACTGCTGTAAAGAACTACCTGAGACTGGGTAATTTATGAAGAAAAGAGGTTTAATTGACTCACAGTTCCACAGGCTGTACAGAAAACATGGCTGGGAGGCCTCAGAAAACTTAAATTATGGTGGAAACTGAAGGGGAAGCAGGTACATCCTACCATGGCAGAGCAGGAGAAAGAAACATCGAAGGGGGAAGTGCTACAGGCTTTTAAACAACCAGGTTTCATCAGAATTCACTTGCTATCACAAGAACAGCAAGGGGGAAATCCACCCCCATGATTCAATCACCTCCATCAGGCTCCTCCTCCAACACTGGGAATTACAATTTGACATGAGATTTGGGTGGGGATACAAAGTCAAACCATTTCAATAGTGAATGCTGACTGTGGGTATATGAGAAGTCTCTGTGCTATTTTCTCAGTTTTTCTCTAAACCTAAAACTGTTTTTGTAAGCAAAAAATAAAATTCTAAGGCCCTCCTCAACCACCTGAAAGAGCCCTTCCCCTTAGCCAGGGGCATTCCAATGTTAACCTGAAAAAACTAGTTCAGGCTATGATGGAAAGGGGGAGCTGGGCATGCCTCATTCTACCCTCTTCCCTTTTTGAATTCCTAATAGAACAGACTCTTTAAGTCCAATAAGCAACATGTACAATCTTTCTCTCTGAAGCCTGCTACCTGGAGGCTTCATCTGCATGATAAAGCCTTGGTCTCCACAACCTCTTATCACAACCCAAACATTATCTCCCATTGATAGTAACTCTTTCAACCAATTGCCAATCAGAAAATCTTTGAATCCACCTATGACTTGGAAGCCTCACTTCCAGTTGTCCTGCCTTTCCGAACCAATGTACACCTTACGTGTATTGATTGATGCTTTATGTCTCCCTAAGATGTATAAACCAAGCTGTAATCTGGCCACCTTGGGCACATGTCCTCAGGATCTCTGGAGGGCTGTGCCACAGGCCATGGTCACTCATATTTGGCTCAGAACAAATCTCTTCAAATATTTTATAGAGTTTGACTCTTTCATCAACATTCTAAAATAAAGTTTATTTTGAAAAAGAGAGTGAGAGAAAGAAACAAAGGGACAGTTCCTCCTACTTTCCTGTGTGGGAGGTCACGACGTTTGGAGCTCAGGTGACCATCTTTTGACTCTCAATATGCCTGCTCACAGCCCTAACCAAACTTGGACCCATCTACCGGATTTTTGTTATTGACCCTGCCTGGAATGCATACTCCTCCATGCTTATTTCTCCAGCAAATAACTACCCCCATTCAAGTTTCAGTTGCCAGCCATGGCACAACATGTGGCCAGCAAGATTCTAAGATGTCCCTGCAGATTCCTGACGGCTGGTGTACACAGCCTACATAACCCTCAGTACTGTGAATATAATGGATTATACTCCCATGATCAGGTTATGTATGTGACACTGTTGATGTTAAGAATAGATTATCTCAGTAAGCCTGATCTAATCATATGCACTCTTTAAAAGCAGAGAGTTTTCTCTGGCTGGTAGCAAAAGAGGAAGTTAGAGATCTGATGTAGGAGGATGTTTGACACGAAGGAATTCTCCGTTGCTGGCTTTCAGGATGGAAAAGGTCATGTGGCAAGGAATGCAGGTGATCTCTAGGAACTGAAGGGAGGCCCAGGAAATGGGGACGTCAATCCTACAACCACAGGAAACTGAATTGTACCCAAAACAAGAATGAGCTTTAAAGATCTCTGCAAGGGCCTCTAGATAAGAAGCCAGCCCAGCTGACACCTTGATTTCAGCCTTGCAATGTACCCTGAGTAGAGAACTCAGCCTTGCCCCCATGCGAACTTCTGATCTATATAACTGGGAGCTAATAAACAGACACTGTTTTAAGTCACGAAATCTGTGGCAGTTCGTTATGCAGCAACAAAAAAGGAACACACCACATCTCCTCTCAGAAGTTATCTCTCACTTCCCCAGGCATATCTGTGACATCTTCCTCTTGCTGCTGTGGCATCCGATATACCTCCCTGCCATGATGCAGGTCACTCTGTGTTATCATTATCCACATACTTGTCTGCCCTCCTTAACATGATTCTGAATTCCTGGGCAGTGGGGACTATATAATTTAATCACTGCAATCCCAGGCACAGAGTAGGAAGGCAAAAAATATATATATATTTACTGAACGATGATTTCTTCAAGAAAAAAAATCCCAAGATCACTAATTTGTAATCATATATACTAAAATAACCCACGATGTCAGAGATTTAATATCCAAGCAAGAGGAAAAGTCACCAATATAAAAGAATGGCAAAAAAGAAAGAATAGTTACTATAACTATATGCATGGGATGTTTCTGAGGAACCCAGAGGTGAATGAAGTCCCCAGGGATGGTAAGTTAAGGAAGAGAGTAGAGAAATGAGCAGACTGTGAGGGGAAAAAATCTCTCTCTAGATCATTTAGTAAACAAGTTTTTATTGAATGCCTGCTAAGGGTAACCGGTAACTGTGGAGGACAATATAGAGGTTTAAGATTTAAAGGGCCAGGAGTGGTGGCTCACACCTGTAATCCCAGCACTTTGGGAAGCCGAGGTGGGCGGATCATGAGGTCAGGAGATCAAGACCATGGTGAACCCCTTCTCTACTAAAAAATACAAAAATTAGCTGAGTGTGGTGGCACGGGCCTGGGGTCCCAGCTACTCGGGAGGCTGAGGCAGGAGAATTGCTTGAACCCGGGAAGTGGAGGTTGCAGTGAGCTGCGATCGCACCACTGCACTCCAGCCTGGTGCATGGCAGCAGAGCAAGACAATGTCTCAAAAAAAAAAAAAAAAAAAGATTTAAAATACTATCATCAGGCATTCTGAGACCCTCCTTTCTGTGGCATACGTCTTAAAATGTTAGATTCAAGAAGGCCTTAGATTTTATGCATAAAAGTCCTCCTTTTTTTTCCTTTGAGACTAAGTTTTGCTCTTGTTGCCAAGGCTGGAGTGCAATGGTGCGATCTGGGCTCACCACAACCTTCACCTCCCGGTTCAAGCGATTCTCCTGCTTCAGCCTCCTGAGTAGTGGGGATTACAGGCATGCGCCACCACGACCGCCTAATTTTGTATTTTTAATAGAGACGGTGTTTCTCCATGTTGGTCAGGCTGGTCTCAAACTTCTGACCTCAGGTGATCTGCCAGCCTCGGGCTCCCAAAGTGCTGAGATTACAGGCGTGAGCCACTGCATCCGGCCCAAAGGTGCTCCATTTTTTAAACAAATAGAAGTAAACTGATTTTCCACTGAGCTCTGTTTCTGAGGTGCACATCCTCGTTCCTATGCCTTTGACACTTCTGTTAATGGGTTTGTAATACAAATTCCTGGAAGAAACCTAGAGATATTTTGACATTACACAACAGTTTCTCCCTCACAAGTGCCGGCTCCCTTGACCATCGGAGCTGGGGTAGCTGGGCCGTGTGGGTCCCATTCCCATCTCTCTCATTTCAAATGCTGCAGTGGAAATGTGGTCTGGAAAATGAATGAAAGGGGTGGATCCAGAATATACCGAGAAAACAAGTAAAAGCTCAACGGAGAATGGTACAGGAAGTTGTAAGGAGTATCTAAGGAAAGGAGAAGGGGGGGGCGGGAAGATGCTTTCTGGATCAAATCCCGTGGGCGATGAGGAGCAAAGGAAAGGGTTTCAGACTCTAGCTTTGGGGGTGGGGTGTCAACTCATGTCTCTGGGCTGAGGTTTCCACATCTGTAAAGCTGGAGAAGTAAGATTTGCCTGGCCAACCAATGTACACAACCATTGTTACAACCAAGTATCGATGGTGATAAGAACTAAACAGAAAACACAAATAATACTCAGCTGGTCTCCAAGGGGGTGGTTTAAGGTTAGGTGGCAAGCCTGAAGTAATTTCTAAAGTCCCTTAGGGAAAAAATTCTGAAACTTGAGCCACAAATTCAGAGGCAGATGGCTTTTCGCCTTGCAAACGACCTGCCATAGACTCAGTCCGTCACTGCCTCTGCTAGCTCTGCTACCCTTGGGCCCAGTCCGCAGCCCACGTGGGAGACCTTTCCTGGGATCTACTCGGACGTCTGGGACCTGCCACTTCGGCAGGCTGGAGACATCCCCCGTGCGTGTGCGCCGCGCCCGCGGAACAGTGCAGTCTGCCCGGGGCCAGGGGCGGGCCGAAGCCAGGGCGGAGCCAGGACTGGGAATCCCCGCGCCGTCCGGATGGTGGCGGGGGGGGGGGGGGGGGGGGGGGGG